CTAGACTTTGAGAAACATGTCCATGACAACTAAGCCTATTGATTTAACCATCTTCAGAAACAATATACATGTTATTAGTAACAAACTGCTAAACTTTTGGCATAAGTGTGCAGGTGTGTCCTCATTTTCTACACAGTATGCACAGAGCTGAGACAGGTGAGAGCACTTCTGTGAATTTCCCAACACTCTGTAACTTACTGCAGCCTCAAGACTAGAATGCCACAACACCCAGTACACAGAATCACTCCTTATACTTTTTTTTTATTTTCTAATTGGACTTTTTGGGGATGCGTTATTATATCTTTATTAAAAGATATGATATGCATATAGTAGTACACAATGACAGTAATAAGGCATTTTTAATGTCATCTCCCAGTTGTGCTGACTTTCAGTTGAGAGTGTTGGAGGCTTCACATTACAAAATATAGCTCTGAGCCTCCCACTCCTACAAACCACTCGGGAGCCTGTCAGACATCAAGCTGTTAGCTGTTACCCTTTTCTCTTTATTTGATAAAGCATGCTTACAAGCAGACCCTCAGAGTTCTTCTATGAAGGGGATCCACCTACCAATGTTAGCCTGATTTCATCTTTTCCTGCACTGTACAGAGCCCTTTCACCTGTGTGAAACAAACTTGGGGGGAGATGAGAGGAAGAAAAGCATTAAATTTTGTCTCTGCATTTTGCTTTGAGGAAACTCAGCCTTGTGTTGTTTACAATGAATCTAGTTATAAGCAGGGCATGTTGGGGGAGGGGGGTGTGTTTTGTTTTTGCTGACTCTGCAAACTGATACTTTGAGGGAATTGTTTAGGGAAAGCAGAGAGTCCTTTATTATGTACATCATTGCCAAGTGATTTGGCAGATCCCTCATGAGATGCACTTTCTGATAGGTTGACAGAGAGCTGGACTGGCCAGTTACCAGCAGAAAAGCTCAAGTTAAACACTTTTAAAATCTTATGATGGCCAATTTGTGGTTTTGGCTCAAGAAAGAAAGAAGATGAAAAATAGGGACAGCTGGGTGTCAGTGAGGGATGGAATATTGAGGTAATTTTTGTTACTGTGCCACACCAAATTCACTGGCTTTGTACATTGGTCGTTTCCAGCTAAGGCAAACATACATACTGACTAGGTACACCTGCAAAGGTGATGGCAGTTGTGTCACTGCTTGTCCAAAGTCAAAACATCACAGAACTCCCTAATACCTAGATCCTGACATTGAGGCATACTTCAAGCAATGGCTAGTTTCTGGTCCTTGTAGCAAAACCTGTTGCATTTTGATCCTCCAAAGGCCCACCTGTCCAGGATGCAGTAAATCCTTGAAATATCTGAATGAAGACAAGGTTTTTGCAGCCAAGGACAAAAGCCAGGCCAAACACCCACCTGGTCCTACAGGCAATGGGACAGTGTATGTTAATATGGCAACAACAAAATACTGTGCCATTATGAATAAGAACATAACTGTCGGATTAACTCCACACATAAATAAATCCCTATTTGCAGAAAGAGTAAAAAGAGAATGCTCCGGCAGGAATTGCAGGACCTAAACACCAACCAAAGTCTATTATTAACCACCATTCAAATGGAGCTGGGATGAGGAGAGGATAGGAGGCTAATGGTCTAGACAAGGTAAATCCCACATTCTGTAAAGTAAGGATTTTTCGGTTAATACCAAATGACAAAATGTGTCTTGCTCTCTTTTGGCATTTAGTTAAAGCAAAACCTCTGGTGAAAATATTTCTTGCCCTCCAGAATGAGCGCTGAGATACCCCAGCTGCAGAGTGGCCGGGTGCTCGAGCACCCTGTGGGCAGGGCTGGCTGCTTCTGTGCCAAGGAGCAGGCTGTTTCTTGGAAATGTTTATGCAATTCAGCTGTGCTCCTACTAGAGCCAGACACTTTAAGTTAAAAAAAAAACAAAACCCAACAGCTAAAAAAACAAAAACAAACAAAAAAAAAAAACCCAACAACAAACAAACCAGAACACCCAACCTCAGATCTCCCAGGCCATTAGTGTATCTCACTCAGGTTTCGCCTTCTACCAAATACTATCAAATACCTGTTTTGTTTGGTTCTGCAGGGTGGAGGGAGTTGGAGGGCTGCCTTCACTGCTGTCAATGGTTCCTATTGATGTTTCCCACTAGAGAAAATGAGCTTACTTGTTTGCTAGTCCAAATTCCCTGTGGGGCACTGCTTGGGGAACTGAAGATAAGGGAAGGAAAATAATATCTATTAGGGCAACGCGTAAACATCCATAAAACAGAATAGTAAAACACCTACAGAGAATGTTGTAAGTTTGCCAACAAACTAATAAGAGTCACTGACTGAGGAGAGAGCTGTGACTGTCAAAAAAAGTTAAAATAAAAATAAATTGAAAGTTTAATCTAGCAATTATAACAGGAAATTACCAACAGAGTCAGGGCTCCTACATTCTTTTCCTGGTTCTGCTTCCGATTTACCGAGAAAGTTGGAGAAGCCAGATTTTAAAAGTAGCTTCTAATTTGGAAAGCCTCCATTTCTGATGCCTAGCTGTACACACAGAGGACTCCACAGACCAGTATCTTCAGTTCTCCCTGTGCATTTGTGAGGGCAGAGCATTTCAGGGCATTGGTGTCTCTGAAGTCACATATGTGACCTGGACAAAGCCACAGTCACTGGCCCGCCCAAGTGGCCGTCTCTGAAAGTTTCCCATTTGGGAATTGTGGCTGGCACAACATATTGCTGTGGGAGTCTGATGTTTAAATGCTCTTTATGGCTGACATAACATATTGCTGTGGGAGTGTTATGTTCAAAAACTCTTTGTAAACATTTACAAGACTTCCAAGATGCACTCTGTCTCCAAAGTCAGTGCTATTACTTTTGGAAATAATGAAACTTGTGAACTGCACGTTTGCTGAAAGGACTACTGCTTGGTAGGGGCACTGAGCGGCATTTTCAAGTGTGGCTGCAGGAGGAGTTTAAGTAGAGGGTGACTTAATCAGAGTGTCAAAAATCATTTGTCTTCCATTCAATAACACCCCCCCCCAATAGAAACTGCAAATAAAACAATCTGTTTTATTTGATTGAATTTCTGATGCTTCAGAAGGAGAGGGAAGGTCTCTCAAACACAGGAGCTCTCTGGAACAGAGAAAAAATTCCATAAGGACTCAATCCCATAAGAATTTCTAAATTAAAAGAGCATGTGGCTTCTTCTTACACTGAGTTGTGCTATGAGCTTCTCAGAGGCAGAACCAAATTAAGTATGAATTAGGATAAGGATGTCTCCATAAATTGACATTTTCCTGCACTACATTCAGTTGCAATCTCTCATCTTTATCAAGGGACACCATGGGTCGGAGAGCTACACTGCATGCCTGCCAGCACTCAGTTGTGGAAGTCTGAATGTTTCTCACTATACCAATGCACTGGTTTTTTCTTCTGTACTATACTACTGGATATATGTGTGTCCTGGTCAGCTTTATCTGTGCTATCAGCCAGAATATTTACAGTGGCTTGTCAGAAGCAAATTACTATAGATGTTTGCCTGTTTGTAATGGAGGTTGCTACTGATCCTGTCTTCTAAAGAATATTGCAATGCTGAGGAATAAGCATTAAAAAAACAGAGAATGTTGTTTACTGACACACTGCAGAAAGAAAAAAAAAAAAGGCTGGAGTAGGTTTGGTGTCCCCTACTCTTCCACCCACAGCATGCAGGGGAGAGTGCACTCAATGTTCCTTTCCCTTCTTGCTCCCACATGTGACCCAGGAGGCAACACAGTGTTCACCATCTCCATCAGCCACTGGAGCCTGAGTCTCAGAGCTCCTGCCAAGCTCAGGTCTTCTGCCAACCACCTGCTTTTGCAACCCTTGTTTTCACATAGAAAGCAATTTGGACCTACACACTGAGAAATCACACAAGCTCCCAAAACAAAAACAAATGCCTTCCCAGCATGATGGCTCATTTCGCTTTTGCAAACTTTATCTGGAACCCTTAAAAAAGAAAAGCTGCTTAGGCCTGACATGTAAGTAAGTGACAAAGAACCCTTTGATAGGTGATCATAGTATACTGCCACTATACAGGCAAAGTGTCTCCCTCTGGGCAGCAGCGAACTAAACACAGTGACACAGACAGTGTTTCAACACCTGCTAGGGACTCTGGGAAAACAGCTTCATCTTTACAGCTATCTTAGCACAGCTGGATACAACACTCTCATGAACCCTCAAATTCACATACCTCACCATATTTTGTTAAGTACAACACACAGTTTTAGTGAGTGAATAGATGTACAAAAAATAAACCTGGTATTTGCGTACAGTCATTGTCAACTCTACTGGCTTCCCTAGATAAAAAGGCTTTCTTTAAGGGACATTTAACATTCAGACATCACAACACACCAGTTGAGAATCCTTTCCTTCAAAGGCAGAAATAGAGAAACCATTTGCCAAGACCCAGAAACCAGATAAAGTTAATAAAAGTTATTATTTCCACTAGTCAGAATGTCTTTCCTTCATACTCAGTCCCAGTTGGTGCACACCCATATGATAATATATAGGCTGTGAAAAGCAGAACTATTAAAAATCATCTTAACTACATTTTTTTAGTGGAAAATAGACTTGATTTCTAAACTGGAATTTCTAGTTAAAAAGTAGTCTTTTATTACTAATGAGCTACTCCTCCTGATACTATATATATTGCTAGCAATATATACTCAATAGAAATGATTTTATCATAATGAAACTAATATTAAAACTATTTACTCAAAAAGTGAAAATGCATATTTCTAAATACTCAATGTCACTAACAAGTATGATGCTTTCTTGAACTTTTGAATACTTCTTACAGAAACCACTCTCAGAACTGTTAAACTCTAGCTTCAACATTTGAACTCTTCATTAACGGGAGATGTCCTTCATGCTTGCCTCCAATATCTTCTTCGCAAAGTTTCCTAATTAAAAAAAAATATCTATTTTTCTACTACACCCACCCACCCATTTTCAGTCATTCATTGCTACTTCCCTTTGTTTTGTAGGCTCGTCCAAAAGGAGAAGGCCTGACACCATACCAGGGCAAGAAACGCTGCTTTGGTGAATATAAGTGCCCCAAGTGCAAGAGAAAATGGATGAGTGGAAACTCCTGGGCTAACATGGGACAAGAATGTATCAAGTGCCACATTAATGTTTATCCTCACAAACAGGTAAGAGAAGTGCAGACCTGATGGCAACAGGCTTGGAGCTAGGAATGCTGTTGGCTTTGTAAAGCGTGGGTAAGACAGAAAGAACTTGACATGGACTACAACACCCCGCAGAGAATGTTTCCCAGATAAGCTTTCTCAGCTCTGGAAATCTGAACAGGTGTCATCAGAGTTGCAAAACAGCCCATATCTAAAACAGCCAGGGACCACAGTTCCCTGGTGAGGGCATATGATAGAAAGTTTCCATTCACCATAGTGTATTCATCATGAAAACTCACGCCAGATCAAATCAAATGCCCCTGTTCCACACCTCGTCCTAGGCAGTGGCAGACACTTCCAGAAAGGTGTGTATAGATTATATAGACAAAATAATCACCTCTGAGGATACTTCCCCAACCTCTTGTATGGGCTAATGAATATCTCTGCATTCTCCCAGTTTGTCACCAAACAGATCAAACCTTGCAGAGTCTATTAAATAGCAGAAATCAGACTACATGGGCCACCAAGCCTTGCTGTGTCACTGTAGGAGAGTAGGATGCTTGTGTCCAATTTAGGACAAAAATTTGGAAACCTTATTTCAGGATTGCTCAATATTCATTGCAGTGAATTAGGCATTTCTTCTCAATTGCCAAGCTCGCCCTTTTCTCCCATCCTCATCTCCATAGCTCTATTTCATTTTCCCCAGCCACTTTCCCAAATCCATGGACTTCCCAGTACTGTAAGGTTTGTCCATGTCTCACAAAGAATGGTTTGGTGCTGAAGTACTCCCATGTAACTGGCTCAGGCAATAATATCAGAGTAGTGAAGATAATAATCTCCACTCTGGATAGCTCTGGGGTAGCCATTCATGCACATATGTTGGCTCTGTGAATGGCTTGTGCAGCTATGCTCAAATCTTGATTTCCTATGCATACCTTTCGTTAGTGAGTCCCTGGAGAGGAGAGCAGCCACACTTTCCTGCCACCTGCTCATTGTTCCTGGAGGCTCATTTCACTCCAGGAAACTATCCCAGGCCAGTTCCCCACAAAGAATGTCTCAATTCAGCCCTATGCTCTTAGTCCATATGGCCTAGCTGTGAGAATGAGCTTTTAATCTCTCTGGGGCAGGAAAAGTCTTCTCAGCACTTTTACAGCTGCGTATATACTTTAGAGTGCTCTATAAATACAGATCTAAATCTCTGTATTTAAAAGAGATGGTGGAGCATTACAAGAAATAACACAAGGACCTGACAGGACGGCTGCTGCCATTCATTCCCCAGCTCGTCCACCAAGTAGGGAATCAGGTGGTTGTCACACCAGAGCTGAAAAACTGCTCCTCAGGCAAGCTTTGCTAAATTATTCCACTGTGTTCCTCCTTCTGCATTTCCCTCAAGTACAAATCTTCTCATGGGAGTGCTTACAGGAATAAACAGAACATGGGGCAAAACCATAGGCCCATTGAGCTTGATCATGCCTTACTGAATGCCAAAGAAGCACCCAGACAAATCTGCTCTATGGAAATTTCAAAAGGTGTTTCCCAGATAGTTACTTTAGCTACTCTAAACATAAACAGGAATCTCAGAAAGACTTAAACCTTTCCTATTCATCCAAGAAATTTGGATTTTGTGGTTGTTTATGCTCCTTCTGACTCTGCTTCAGCAATTGAGCCAGTCCTTATAGTCATTCACCAGCATTCTTGGCAGTGTAACAGCCCAGATGCCAAGCTCTGAATTCTCATTTTCTTCCCCTGTTCACTATAGCAGCAACATCTGCGCCCATGGTTATTTCCTGGCTGGCCTCTTATCAAGGCTTCTTCTCCGACTTTGTGGCTAAGGCCGGTGCTGTTTGTGATGACAGCTGTTGCTCTGGTGCAGAACCAGCCATCTGGTGACTGACTTGTCCTCTTGGACATTATTTTCTTCCAGCTGTCAGGAATTTACTGTTGGACTGGAAATAATTTGGTATGTAAATACATACCTCATGATACTCAAGTTATTACTTTCATGGGCAATTCAGTGGTCTCATCATAATTCCCATATCTGAGTGCAACCACTGCCACCTCACTTCCCTCAGTATGGGGAAGGGTGGGTATGATCACTCAAGCCAAATAAACTTCTCAACAGTTTCAAGCCTACAAGTATGATCTTTTGACTGTTTAGATTTAATAAACCCACCCCAGCATGCCCACACTTGTGTACTCCAGCTATGGGAATACAGTTCCCCTCAGACTGCTGCTTTTCTGAACACTTAAAAAAGAGATTTTCACCATTTACCTCATGCTGTTATCAGTCATTTCTAGCTGGCCTGCCCCAGAGGCATGCTGCTGACAGAGGCTGCTTGCTCTCTCTAAGCATCCTGCCTCTGATCTGCTGCCTTCTTATCACTGTCTCTTGGATTCATGGCAACAGCCCAGGGCCTTGGTAATGTCCCTCTTTCCCCAGGCAGAGAAAAGCAGAGGGTCTGCTGCTCAAGAATGGACAGTGCATTTAATCTTTTCTTACCCACTGCCCAGTTTTTTTAATTGGACTAAAAATCTACAAATTCATGATAGCATGTGTTTTTCTTGGGAGAAGCATGGCTCCTTAAGACTGTTACCCTAACAATTATCCTGCCAGCAATAGCTGCAGAATCTTTCTATTCACATTCCTAATCTGACATTTAATCGTCTCATTTGCTGCATTAAGACTTGATGCCCAGGAAATTATTTTTAATTGTTTTCTGCCATTTGAATTCTGATGTGATCCTCTATCCTTCAGTGGTGCAATTAAATTGTTCCATTCCACAGCAGAAAATACAAACAGAAGCAGAGACATTATTCCATTCTACACCTTAGTGGAAGCAATTTCCCTCAAGATGTCCTAGTGATGCTTTCTTTAACACCTAGCATTTCATAAGGGTGAGATGTTTGTTTGAGGGGTTTGGGGTTTCAGCTGACTGTTGGGGAATGCAGAGGTAATGCAGTACATGTAGATGGGGACAGCAATAACTCACAATTAAAAGCTAATTCACAGGTCAGGAATTGATACATATATTTGGATTTCTGACAGTTTCATTCCCCTGTGGTGATATCTTTATTCAACACCACCAAATGCTTTCCTGGTGGAGCTGCACAAGATTATTTCCACCCTGCAACTACCAGGAGAAAATTAAACAAAGATGCACAAAAGTGAAGTCCGGAAGAATGCAACTGTGGATGCTTGCATTAAAAAAAAGAAAGAAAAGAAGAAAAAAAAGAGACAAGATTTAACTTTTCCAGTTAAACTCTCCATTTAATGAAAAAGGGATACCTTTCCCCTGAGGAACATAGCAAGATTTACTGTTGTTCTACAAGGTCCATTTCACTGCTTTTTAAGGAAAAGAGTTAACTTTTCAGCCAAATAGCCTGCCCCCTTCTCCACACCCTGTCCCAGTGCATGGCTGAGTCCTCAGCAGCAGTGCAGAGCTCTTGCAGCCTCCTCAGTTCCTGATGTCTCCTGCAGAATTCAGGCAGTCTCCAGAGCTGACACAGTGGGCAACAGCCAGGCCCTGCTGCACTCCTCTTGTGCCAGGGGCCTCTCCTTCCACCACCAGAGCTGCCCAGCCCCGATGGACACACAGCTCTGTGACTAACATCCTACACTTCTAGCATGGTATAAGAATGGTTCCAAGAGTATAAGGTCATTACTTTCAGGTTCTCCTCAATTAGTAACAGACAGCAGCAGGACAAGAACACTTGCTACTCAGGGTGATTAAAGTGTTCTTTTTTGCCTTTACAAGAAAGCCATGAAGAGAAAAAGGCAAATGGAGATAAGCTGGGATTTCCTTTTATGCAGAAGTTGGGTTGAAATAGTTTTGAGACACAAACCAGACAAGTACACTACCAGTTTCAAAGCCTCAGCCCTCCACCACCTCACCAGAAATGCAGTCTGGGCTCTGCACGGCTTGGTTCCTTCCAGCTGGCCCTTGGTAACCTGCTTTCCTGCATTTGTAACCCCTCTCTCCCCAGCCTGTGTCGTAACACACTGGTAACAATAACAGTTCTGAAATCAAAATGCTTTGCAGGCCAAAAAGCTGAGCTCAATCAACACAGGGGGAAAGCAAACTAGGGAGAGCTATTGTTTCTGAAAACCATCCAAAAACTCTTGGCGCTTCAAGGCATTCCCAATGTCCTTTGCACTATTTCCAGGAAAAATTATTCCCAAGGCCTTGCAAAAAAAAAAAAAAAAAAAAAAAAAAAAAAAANAAAAAAAAAAAAAAAAAAAAAAAAAAAAATCTGGCTTATATCAATAAACATGATAACTGCTGTATTTTTCTCTTTAATCAGAGCACAGCTAGCATGTAGAAGCAATCAGAGCTGAGTCAAATAGCCTGTTTCAAGTGTAGCATTTCAAAACTCTCATTCGCTGTTGAAGAGTGTAAATTAACCCCTGGGACTCCAGAACCTGCACTTCATCTTTGTATATTTATGTAATGCAAAGTTTTGGAGAATATTTGTGGGCAGATGTTGGTTGAATAAGTGGTAGATGAGGTAGAAAGGAAATTTTTCTGACCAAACACACTTATTCAATTTGCCTGTCTTGTGGAATAAGCAGTGCTTGGACTGCAAGCCTAGAAACAGAATTGCTGGTTCTGATCTTAAATCTCAACATAGTGACATCAAACATTTAAAGCTCAGGAGGGTTGCAGGGTGTTTGAAGAGTCCATCTGCCTTCCTCATCTAACACAGGAAATCCACTTTGCAGTTGAAATGTAGATGAAGGAAGACTCAAAGACGTACATGGTGCATGGTTCTAAACGCTGACTCAGAAAGAAGCCATTGCCTCACTACTGAGTCACTCCTTTATATTGTTTTGACTAGCTGTGCAACAAAATAAGAGTGTTGCACTTATAATCCAGTACAATCAAGCAAGAATTTACAGACATCCCTCGTTCAAGATGATTGAATATATTTTGTGTCATTTTAGCTATTCAAAGAGAGAAACTTTTCTACTCCCTGATTTATGAAAATTGCAATAGTGCAATATTACATAGCCAGAAAAAAAGATGCACAAAATCTCTGTTCCTGTCCACAGAATTTCAGGTAGGCAGCTTAATGAAGAACTTATAAATGAAATCTTAGATGATCAGGTGTACTTTAAGACCTTACAGATAAAGAAAAGTCTTTAAGAAAAGTGTTAAGAGATAAATGGCCAAGATGGTGTAATTTTTATTTAACCACCCACTGCTCCAAGAATCACATTTTGAAGATATAAACAAGGGTCTAATATCCCTGTAAAAACAGTGAGAAGCTTATGGCTAGTTTTCAGATTTCACACCACATGCTGTGTCTACCACAGTCCCATGGAAGAACTGCTGCCTTCATGGCACTGTGCAATGAAACAGCCTTTCAGACACATTTCATGAAAACATTTCAGATCAATTATGGGTTAGGGAAATTGGGAGTGTTTTCCAAGCAAATGGTGCACTTTATTAAGTTCTACCTCACATCTCTATCACTTCCCTACCTATTAGACTTCCCAAACCTTTAACTTTATCACAATATTTAACGTGGATGTTTTATTTTCAGAATGATTGTGAAGCCTTTTACATACCATGGAAAGTGAAAGCACAAATATCTACTAACAGTGAATCAGCTTAATTTCCTCCAATACTGTGATTTCATGAATATTATTAAAAATACATAATTTATTACTCAGATTCAGTACAAAGGATTGTGTCATGAGGTTGGATCTTGTTTTGGTTTTGTATAAGTCTGGAATTTTTTTTTTTATTTTAATAAAAGCTTTGCAGCTGCTCTGTTTCAAAACTTTCAGCCTCAAAAACATGGGACTACCTATTGGAAAAGCACCATTTAGCTATGCAGTATCTGTGCATAGTTAAGACAGCTTTCTTCATGCAGCAGCTAGTCCTAACATTGATAATCCCTGCTCTGCATTGCTGGGTAATGGGACTCTCATGCTTTAGATGGTAATGCCTTTGGGATATCTAAGTTACTGGAGCTAAGCAAATGAACTCTTTTGTTATTGCTTTTATGAAATGAAGTCCTCAATGCAGTATTTTTATAATTTGACTGCAACAAAGTTAATGCCATTCTTCACAAAGGTGAAATTAAGTTGTGAGGCCACTCTGAACCAATGTAGAGCTGAAGGGCTGAAAAAATCACTCCATACCTTCAGGAAAGAAACATAATACCTTTTTAATTACCAGTAGAAAGCTCAATTGGGGCATAAAAGTAGACTTCACATGCTTAATAAAAAGTAACAAGGACAAAACCTTGGATCTAATCTGATTTCCTTCCCGCCACTGCAGAGACCCCTGGAAAAGCCGGATGGCCTGGATGTGTCAGACCAGAGCAAAGAACATCCTCAGCATCTGTGTGAGAAGTGCAAAGTTTTGGGCTACTACTGCCGCCGTGTGCAATAAACCTTCCAAGTGGCCTCTTCCCATCCCCATCATCCCGAGAGATTCTCTGGCAGCATGCGATCAACAGCAGCACAACAGATCAAGATAAAAGCTAAAATAATTGCCAATATTGCCTATCTAATAATATGCCTTACCATTAATAGAATGTAACATTTCTCCTGTGCATGTGTATGCATGCAATAGGTATTTACAGGACTATGATTTGTATACATATATATGTAAATTTATATATGTACACACATAAAGTGTTACTGATGATGTTCACAACAGAACTACAGTTACAGGTTCTGCTGATTGTTTACACAGACTCTATATCACAGCCAGGTGAAATGAAGTACTTTTCAAAAGGCAAGGAATGATATGCACGAGGAATATTTGTTACATGCATGGCTTTTGCAGAGGTTCAGTAACTGTGGGGCCACTAATTGTAAGCACTCACCCACAACACGAACACTGTTCTTATTATATGACAAGACAAAGGAAGATGAAACAAGTCACAGCATAAAAGGGGAATTACTGCTTTCCCAGTTATAGAAAGTCTTAAGAGTTTTGTGCTGCTGATTTCTTGGACTTTTTTCTATTTGTTACCATCCCTTGGGCAGGGCTCAGGCAAAAAATTTTTAAAGGACATGGAAAAAAAGTTAATAATTGTTTGAGGGGTGTGGGTTGGGTAGGAAGGGAATGCCATAAGATTCCAAGAGGTTTTTGGAAGAGACAAAATTGGCTTGCTTATGCAACTACCAGATCCTTCTCTTGTCATATAATCCCACTGACATGGCCCCTTCTATGTGCATGGTGTGTTCATTAGACAACAAGCACACTAAATTTACTATGAATAAGGGGATAAGAATACTTTAAACTGACCCCAATGCCCTTAACTGAAAGATTAGCCAAACTTACTATTTATAGTAGTTTAAAAGACACTTTCTGGAAATATTTTTATGTCCTGTTTTCTACTATAGAAATTTGTTATAATATGAAACATGTTAGCCATAGGGGTGTTTTAAGGCATGGAGAGCACTCTACATAACTCTCTTTCTTTATGTCTTCCTGAAGAAGACCTACATACCTGGGGAGAAATTTTGGAATTATATTTCATTGTCCCATTTCAGGTAGAGCTTTGCACAGGGACAGCCTGCTGCAAAGAACATCTTGTTAGGGATTGGCAAATATAAACTGAAAATACCTCGAGACAGTATCCTGTTTGTATGTCTACATGAGAGTACATTGGCAAAAGGACACAACAAGCAATTAATTTGTAGTGTTCACTAAAAAAAATAGAGGCATAATGTTTGAGATTGAGGGGGTTACATCAGCAATTTACATTTTTATCAAGTTTCCTTTAGGGAGATTGATTTGTGTGAATGATACTTAGAGAAAACACTTTAAATCCTAAATAACTTGATGTGAACTAAACGTAATGCAAAGACAGTGGGGGATTTATGCCAAGTGATAACAGGATGTTACCAGTATGTCAAGACAAGATTTTATAAAGAAAGTAGAAAACCTGTCATGAGCATTCACCTAGGGAACGTGAAGCTTCTGACAATTTGTTGCAGGGTCAAACTCTTGCCATTTCCCCACTTTGCTCTAAGCAGGGCAAAATTGCATCTGCTTGTTCAAGGGGAGTGGCATGTACATATCTTGCAAACTCCATTATTTATGGGCAGCCCAAGTGACCCAGCCTGCTGATCACAGCAATGGCTTCTGACCACAGCTCTCCCATAGCTCCCTGATTTTGGGCAAGTCACAAGATCCTTCTGGACCTCAGTTTCCCCAACTGCAAAAAGGGGGTAATAATACTTTAGTATACCTACCTCACAGGAGAGTTGTGAGGTTTACTTAATATCTCTTAAGTATTTTGGCATCACTAGATGAAAAATGGTGTGTAATGCTAAAATAGAATTAACTAAATTAATCACTTGGAGACTACTTCTGCCCTGTTAGCAACTCCAACTAAAATAGGTGAAAATATTATTGAAAGTAACACTAATAAACAGTTCCGTTTGCTCAGTGAAAATACGGAGTTTTAGCATTTTCAAATGAAAACACATTCTTTTGCACAGATTCACAAATTAACTTAGAGACAAATTCTCTCAGCAAAGATACTAATCTCTCTGTACAAGTAAGAAAATACACAAGCAAATCTAGGGGTGGATTTTCTAAGCTTGACCTCTAGGATTAATCTCAATAGATTGTTTCAAGCATGAGTAATTTTGAAAGAGCAGCATTTTAAACCAGATGAGCACTTAATAGTACAGGAACAAAAAAAAAATCACCTAGCTGGTTTACATCTAGCTAAAGAACATGTAGAAAAAACAGTTAGATGAAGATAAGGGAAAACATTATTTTATTTTCTCCCTGAAACCAAGATGTTGCTATCAAACATTTTGTTCAGTATTGAAATAATCTCCCTGTTATGAAAACCACTAAAACCAGTAAAATAGCACAAGTCTTTATATAGCTGTATTACTATATCACACACCAGCAGGCTTTGACAAAAAGGTGACTAAAAGATGCATTGGTATTTTCATGACAGTGCCCTATTAAGAATTGTTTATCCAGATTCAACACTGCCAAGCAATGCCTTTAGCTTATGGATTTTTAGATTGTACTAAAAATACACATGATCTCCCTTAAAACAACGTCTATAGGTGTAGCATAATTCTTGAGAGCATACTTATGAGAGCTCATATTATTGATGTGTTCCTAGGCAGAAGACATATCAAGTATTTAAGTGATACTTAGCATATCTCTAATAAAGAGGAGAAATTTCCCCCTGCCCTGGCGGTGGGGGAAAGCAGATGAAGAACAGAACGTGTGGAAAAGCAAAGAGCAATAATGCTTTTTTTGTTGTTTTTGTTTTGTTGGGTTTTTTTTGTTTTGTTTGTTCTGCCTAAGGCAGAGGCACCGGGACCTCCTCCCTGCCCAGGCTGGAGCCGCCTCCCTAAACCGGGCTTGGCAAGGCAGGAGCCCAGCTCGGCCCAGGGGATCCCTCTGTGCCTCCCCGCAGGACTCACTCCACACTGGAGTCTGTGCAGCTGGGGTGGCTGGGAAAACACATCCACATAAGTAATTGTGTAGAACAGTTTATGACCATTGGCTTTTAGTGGCACAGAGGAGACATTTCTAAATTTTTATTTCAATGGAAAAAAAGAATGATTGATTATAAAATATAGATTACTTCTGCTCCCTGCCTCCCCACTCAAAGGTAATTCACCTATAGATGTAATCAGCTCTTTCCAAATCAGAAAAAAAAAATTGTTAAGGTGCAGATTTTTGACTGGAAAAATGAGGGACTGATTTATCTTTTAGATTTTAGTGACTGCTTTCTGATGTTTTCTAACTAGCTCTGCATTGAGAGCATCAGCTAGCAATCATTGAAGGCATTAGTAGACAGTATTGGCAGGAGTGAAGCAAGCATAAAAAGAGTTTTAAATCAATACAGGCCTCCCTAAACTGAGTATTGTTTAGGGGTGTATCTGAGAGCAGTTTGGCTCTGTGCATTTATTTGGCAAACTGGATTTTCAACCCCCAATGCTTGCTGTTGACAGCCCATCAATAGATCCTGTCCTATTCAATTTTTTTTTTTATTTGCACCTTTTCAGATTTTTTTTAATCTTCCATTTATTTCTTTAAAAGCAACAAAAACCAATCAAACACCCCACAGTTTGTTTCATGAGTTGGTCATAACATTTCATATCTAATTTGGAATGGGCACACTTCTGGAAAAATATTCGAGTAATTTGAAATGTGTGTTATAGGTTTTTAGCTGCTTTAACCTAATGAGGCTACAATGAAGCTATTACAAGTACTTCATTTAAAGGTGATGAAGAAATATCTTAGTAGTTTAAAGGGTGGCCCCATTTAGCCAGTTCCTACTGCTGCTACTACAGATGTAAAATGATGCCACACAAGCAAAATTTGAGGCATTTTTGTCTCAAAGTTGCTATTTAATTTCAGATAAATACACAAGAGTATATATTATTTGTGAAAATAGGTGTATTTTGAAGTTCCCCATTATATGGGACTTAGTTTTTAAACAAAAAATGTGAAGTTACATATGTCTGAGAGAGGCCTCATACCTAGAAGTATTAGCTACATTTTACCTTTTTGTATAACATGAAATTTAGATTATACATGAATTGCATACCTGTGAGACTAGCGTTTTTAAAAAAAAACCCGAAACCTACTTAAAACATCAAAAGTTTAGAGCTTTTGGAAATGTCAGACTTCATAGATTAGTGGTCTTTGTCCTGCAGTCACATAGAAGATTATTTTTGTCCTATTCTGGATCCTAAGAGTTATCCACTGAACAGTAAGCAATAAATCATCAACACGTGTTTTTCAAGTTAAGTCAATAGACATATATTTTCCACTTGCTTTTGCCAACATATTTTAAAATGTGATTGAACTATCCCCCATAGGAAAATCATTCTTTCAGATATCACTCCACTCCCAACTGGGCTTCCACCCATATCTCTTTCTTATCTGCAAAACCAGTGCTGTCCATTGAGTTTGCTGTATCGCTCAAGTGCTCAGAGGGCTGTTTGAGATCTTAGATATAGGGATGATGGATTGTGTTTCTAGGATGAATTTCAAAGGGACAATCGTGTGCAGTTACTAGCTATAGATGATTGATATAAATGTTTACCCCTGTATGAAGTATTTTACAGTTTTACTTGCAGATGTGTATTTATCTTGAGTTATACTTGACATAGAGTTTCTTTCAATTTTTTTTTTTAATACTATGTGTGTATTTTGGAAACCTTTTTAGATGTTAAAATTTTTGAATGGTTACAAATATTTCTTATAATACTGAATTGTTATCTGGAAACTCTTTGCAGTAACTTTTTTGTATATATTTGAGGGCCTTTTTAAAAAAGTATTGTTTGTTTTTTGGGCAAAGTTTTTACAATTGGGAAGCTTTCAGAAGGGCCTTCCTCTCATCTAGGATACTAACAGAGGTAAGAGTTTTCTTAAGTATTTTGCAGTATTTTGCAGAACTAAGGATGTATCCTCAAGAAAATATTTATGGAAATAATTTACTTTTTTTTTTACAATGCTTTTGTCTGTATAAAGTATGCAACAGAACTACATTAAGAAGGAAATATTGTCTACATAAAATATTATATGAAAGTTGGTACATAATTCTGACAAAAAACCTTGCGATTCTTTAAGCCATATTGTTTTTGTTATCCTTGGATGAAAATATCAGTATTAAGTAACCAGTGTATTATTCAAGTGCTTAGACTTATATGAAAATGCTTATATGGTTTATTTATGTGTATTTGGGGAACGAGTGCTAGAAAAGCTATCACTAGACATGTAGCAAGTGAGGAGCAAATAACAGTATACTGTCACTTTATGGCCTTGTGAGAGACACAAAGGTGTTGAAAGCACCGTGGAGACTCGGCTTTCAGAAACTCCGAAGCACAAGTGGTGGTTTCAAATGGTGGCTCTTTCCTTCCCCATGGCTAGAGGGGAAGAAAGTTGGTTGGGACATTGTTTAACTTGACTTTCACAACTCTTTGCAGACTGTGAGCTCAGCTATGCAGTATCATCTACAGCAATAATATCAATCAAAGGATGTAAGAGAAAAGGATTGAAGTAGATTATTGTAGGGGTTTACGTTTATTTTAATTAGAACTCATAGCAATATAGAATATGCATGTGCACGTACTCGAAGCATTTTACACTTTACATTTCATGTAGTTTGATTATATTATGAAGGATTGAGTTTTTAGTTTGATATTTTACCATGCTAAAATGGGAGGTCTGCCCAGCCCTATACTGGATTCTTGTTTCCTTTAAAAGGTTATTTAGTACAGCACTCACTGCATTGTGTAATAGTGCTAAAACTAACACTATTTTATGAATTTCTTCAGCTTTAAAAAAATTAACCTAATGATTATTACATTTGTTAAACTGTACCCACTGACCTTGTCAGATTCAGTTGGCAAATTGTGTAATTTCTTTTTCTGTAACTGTTAATAAACTTGTACAGCTAAAACAAACAAAACCTATGGACAAAGGCCTCAGAGGTACCAGTTTTGTTTCAGCAATCAAGATGACAGCTTGCTCATCTGGTGACTTTGTTGCTACCAAGACTGTAAAATCTCTGTTGTGGATTGTCCATAAAATGGCATTCCGACATGTGCCTTATTTGCTGGATAGTACACAGCTTTCCTCTAGTATTCTAGCATTTTAATGCTGTATTAAAGTATTGCAAAAAAACCAGCAAGAGCGTGGCATGGTTTTCTTGAACATTCCTTCCTTGGACAATTTCCTCCCAGCTGCAGCGGGTTCCTGGTTATGGCCTGGCCAGCCACAGTCTGGTCCTGAGGAGCAAAGCTGCCCTACCACAGCCATGGGAAGAAGCCTTTCTCCTGCAGTGAGTCCCTGTGCTGCAGGGAGCCTGGTCACATCAGGGTGACAGCTCTTCACTGCCGGTGAGTCACCTCGGGTTAATGGTGCCAGCTCCTGGTTTTCACAGCCTATTCCTTTTCAGGGAAAACCTTCTAAAATCAAAGTACACTTGTAGCGCCTTTGGTTGGATAGAAATGTTTATGTGCCAGAAAGCTGCTTTAGTGAAAAATAACATTCATCGTTCTTTGCAAACAAAAGAAGTTAGCAAATGCTTGTTGTGTATTAGCAATGCTCTTCTCACACTCCCAACCAAAGTTTGGTGGCAAGAACTTTTCTCCTGAGACTGACAATACTGTAGTGATTGGAAGTTAAAATAAAGGTGTCAAGAAATTAACTTTGGATTTTAGGCCTCTAATACAAGAGATTGCCTTCATTTAAAACAAGCAGAAAATTTTTATTAGCCACATAAGCAACACGTTTTTTTATGCCTGATCATCCCTATGAAATACACTGCATATTTGCCACTTGGAGATCTTCCCCACATTGACACCATTTCTATCACATAGCAAGTCTAATTTCTGGATTTGAGTCCTCATTCAGTCCACATGAGAGAGAGCAAAAACACATCCATGTTTATGCATTTTTAGGCAATGGTGGAAGAAGAGGTTCACAAGGAATTGTACAGTTCTGAAGCATTGAAAACAGTGACTATTTCATCAAATGGTGAAAGATCGCCAGCTGAGCCCCATGGAAAGGGAAAGCACATATTCAAAACTTGTTGGTAAATTTTTTTTAAAAAATAAAACTTACTGCTCTCCACTTAAAATTTGGCTACAGCACTTTCCCATAGCAAACCCAAGCCACAAAGCCAAACTCTGAACTGAAATACATCTTTCTTTTTACAGAAGACCTGGGGCTTCCCAAAAAACCCACAAACACCTCAGATTTAGCACTCAGCTGAGACAAGAAAACATGCTGAGTAGAAATGCAAAGTCTTAGCTCCCTATTACCACATTTTCTATGATTCCTCAAAGAAATAGCTTTTTCATATTTAAACAAAAAGTAGATGAACACAATATGGCATCAACAAAAACAATCAAACTACTCTTGTGACATTTTTCATAGCCAAAGCATTTCCCCTGCCTGCTCTTTGTGAATGAGGTCAAGACACAATGCCCCAACCTGTTTGCAATGAAAGGGCCAAATGATTCCCACTACAGAAAAATAATAGGGCTTTCATTAACAGGGATTTCATATAACACTAACACTTCACAATAAAAAGCTGTTTCATTATTCTTTAATGAAAACCCATTTAAACAGCACACCAAGGCTCCTACTCCTCATGTTAGTCACATCACACCAAAAGCTTCTCCTCAGATGCCCCCATTGTATAGCAGGTGTACAGACTAGGCCTAAAATCCCAGCTAGGAAGGGGAATATTCACTACCATATAACACAGTCATATGTTTGCTTTTCTCTAGCGTTCACCTCCTGGACTTAAATAATTTGTCCCCTTTGTGGGGACAACCAGCACACTTACTCATAGAGCACTTCTGTTTTATTGAAAGTAATACAATTGCTCTTCCTCACCATCTGTATCTCAAACACATTGCAGACAACCAAACCCAGAAAACTGGTCATTATACCAAAACTGCAAAACCTCATTCAAAAAGCTTAATACCTCTCACAATCCTTTTGCAAGCTTTGTAAGACATTTTGCAAATGAACATGCCGAAAAACACCTATCTCAGTCAGCCTTTATGGGGTATTTGTCCAAAGGACCAAGACTGAAGCAGAGGCAACTGCAGTAGTGAGGTGTCACAGCATCCCTGATGTCACCCAGGGTAGCAGAGGCAGCCAGCCCTGCTGTGGAAGAGAACAGAGCACTGTGAGACAGCCCTGGGTACAACATTGCCCAGGCACACAGCTCCAGGGCCAAGGAGGAGACCAGGAGCAGCAGTAACCCTGGGCATTCTTTGAAAGCTTTATTTCAATGCCACGAGCTTAGCTAAATAAAAATACAGTTGTCATTAAGTTTTTCCTTTATTTTTTTTAGTAAGAGGTAAAAAGGGCCCTTATGTGCCCAGTTACCCAACCAAACTCCACACCTGCACAGAAAGTAAATCATAGCCAAATGCTTTATGTACATTTTAAGGGGAGTAGGGTGTAAACCAAAGATCTTCTTCTAATGGCCACTCTAGTTTCCTGTTCACCAGCTGAGGTCAGAGAAGAGAATGCCATAAGAAAGAACATTATAAGAAAGCTTTCTTTTACACAATTTCTGAACACATCAAAGCAGCAGGTATGGGAAATCTAACACTAGCCAGCTTTCCATTAACTTTCCTTAGAGTTTTGCAACATAAAGAGGTACAACTCAAAGGATTTCCAAAGAGCCAGACATACCCCCTTTATTTCACCAAGCAAAACTTGAAGCAATAGTACAGGAAAACACTGCAGAAGTAATAGAAAGCAAGACCTCAAAATTCCCTCCTTGCAAATAAAACAATGATAAATAGACAAATACCACTAGCACAGGGAAAAAAAATACTTCTGCTGAGTACCCTCAGGTCAAAATTCAGAGAACTGAAACCCACACCCCTAGAAAAGGCCTCCTTTTTCTCAGCCTCCCTTAAATTGGCTACTAGCCCTGATTGCTGAGGGCTCCATCTGTGCTGGCCAGCTGTGTGGGGGGTGGGAAAGGGATGGAGGGGAATGGGGGTGGGCACCAGCTCCTCCACAGGTGCAAGGGCTTCCTGCCTGGCTGTGCCTGCTGCAGCACTAACCCAAGAGCCCTCTCCAACAGTGGGGCAGGAAAAAAGAGCACAGGCATCAGTGCCACCAACAGGAATCCTCACATTCTGCTGGGAGGCGAAGGATAGCTCAGTTCACATCTAGGAGGCAGGTCTTATTTTAATGTTCACAGGAACTGAAAGATCAACACAGTTAAATCTTCAGCAGCTGTAGAAATTTCACTAAGGGATATACACAAGTAAACTTCACTAGGCAGAATCTTGAATAGAAATTGCTTTCCAACATGCCTGGCTAACGCATCTGAATGTCTTAGACAATTTGTGAATACAAAGCAACTACACACAGCAAATAATACCTTGCCCAGCTACTAAGCTGTGGTTACTTCTTTGGATACTTGGCTACAAGTTTTTGCATTTGTTTAATTAAACTGAAGCAAAAGTGTCTGAGTTAAATAAAGACAATCACTGACACCAACGTGTTCCAGGATTTGAAGGACTGAAACTAGGTTTATTAACTTGGAGGTGAACAGTAATGCACTGGTTCAGAGTAGCAAAAGCAAAACCAGACACAAGTAGCAGCTGACAAGAGTCCCTGATGCTCAGTGAAAGACACCCCAAATGGTGCATATTGAATAACATATTTTAAATTAGTTAGTAATATCAGGAATAAGTGCATTGTGTTATTTTGGATTGTTCAACTCAGTCATGATAGTTTAAAAAAAGAGACAGATGGTTTGGAAGTAGGAACAAGAAACTAAAGAGAAAACATCATTATATGATCCTTATCACTTTCAAAGGACAAAATTGAAATCAAAAATTCAGAAATGATGAAATGAAAGAAATTATATCCTTGTGAAAGGCAACTGTGCACTGGGACTCCATCTTCTGGAAAAGAGATCATTAAGGGCAGATGTGGTAGTATCCCACAATATAATAAATGACACAAATAAGGGAAGAAATATTAATTGCTTCTACAACTCTCCTCAAGGAAGGGAATTTTGGATACAAACATCTGAGGTAATATAATTAAAACAAAAATTTCACACGGCAGACTGAAATGCATAGTCATGGGATATTCTAGCTGTCAAAAGAATAAATGAGATCAAAACCAACCACTAAACCACATTAAAAAAAATTAAACTCCGCAAGGGTTATTAACCACGAAGCTGTGACCCTGCCCAGGAAGTCTCAAAGCACAGAAGCTGCCTGCAGCAAGAGGCTGCCTGCCTGTGGTTCGTATCTTTTCCCTCACTAAACTGCTGTAGGAAAGGATCTCTGAGTAGGTGCTAGTCTGGTTGTTGTCCTGGCCCAAGGATTATTTTTTTGTGTGACATTGGGAGCTGCAATATGTGAATGTAAACATACTTCAGCCCCGAAAGTAAGGAAATATGTGGTACCCAACAGGCACCTGACAGCTGCTGGGGAAGACTCAGACATGCCCAGGGAAATACCCTTCATGCTCTGAAAGAAGATCTTGCAACTCACCTATGCTCATGCTTAGTTGGGCTAATTGGCAGGGAACTAATTGAAAACTACCATAATTTGTAGTCTCCAACAGAATATTACACTACTGTAGCATTTTTTTTTTTTGTTTGGGTTTAATTTTTTAAAATTCTTTGCATACAGTATTTTTTTAAAAAGCTATTCCTAATTAGTTGTGTTTAAAGCTATTTTAAACGCATCTATACACTGCATTCCTTTTTGCTGGGCCACACCACCACTGTTGCTCTCCAAGTGGCAAGGACGGGGTTTAGCCCTTGATTAGCCTCACCATATGGTTTTCTGGGGTCACAAAAGAATTTACTGTGCCAAGGAAAATTTCTAAGAGGTGTTTAATCACCTCTTAGGATCCAGAAGGTCCAGTAAATGGAGCTCATAACAATGAGGTTATAGCCCTGGCTGAGCCACGCACCGTGTCAGATGGGAGGCAGCCAGGCTGTGCTGGGCTCCCACAGTGGTGCCAGCACTGGCCACAGCCAAGGATGCCCTGAATTAACAAGGAGGTTGGTTAGCCTGCACCCATGTTTCCCCATCTACTCATTTTAAGTCATGCCTTTTACTCCAAGGGTGCAGCTTCACACCCAGGAGCTGCAGGAAAGGCATGATCTGGGTTAAGAAAAC